GAAGAAGAAGAAGAAGAAGAAGAAGAAGAAGAAGAAGAAGAAGAAGAAGAAGAAGAAGAAGAAGAAGAAGAAGAAGAAGAAGAAGAAGAAGCTTTTAAGGGTTAAAGAAGAAAGGAGGCACCCAGCGGATTCAGTGAGTGCTGTTTCCTCACACACCCAGCTGGGCAGCCTGGGTCCTGGGTTGGGCTCACACTGGGCCTCCCAGACTCTCCTGGAGGGAGTTTCCAGCAGTCTCTGTGCAGGTCTCTGCGAGCAGATTGGACAATAGAAGGTATCACCTGATTTTGGAGTTGGTTTACGTGGAACCACCTTGGTACAGTCAGTCTCCTGATCCAAGAAACTGCCCAGACGAAGTCGTCACCACCGTGTGCATCACTGATCCTCTAAGGCCACCTGAGAGCATCTCTATGTTTGATGAGGGACCCAAGCATTTCCTCATACGGGAGGCTTCCTCAGAAGGCCTGTCCTCGCCATATTGAAGCTGTTGTCCAACTCTGGCCTGCACCCGGAGGAGCTGCCGAGGGGACTTGGCCCAAGGAAACTGCATCCTGGTATTCGTGCTCTGAGCTTTGGGTGCACCCAGCCTCAGAACAGCGAAGCTCTGCGCCGCAGGACCTCTCACTGGGACACTGAGTGTCCTCCAGGGGGACACTGTGCACCAGGTTCTGGGTCCCCGTCACCAGTTGCTGGTGACAGATTGTAGAGCAGAAAGAGTTAAGAAAAAAGCCCAGTTCTCAGATAAATTCCCTGCAGAGAATCTGTCCTGTTCTTGACCCCACATGTGCAAAAACAAGAGACAGCAAGACTGTCCTAACCTGGACGCAGACACACACAAGTGCGCTAAAGGGATTGCTTTGGTTTGCTTTTTTGAGACAGGGTATTGCTACGCGTAGTCCAAGCTGGCGCTGAGCTCATTATGTAACCCAGGCTGACACTGATCTTGCCGCGATCCTCCTGCCTCAGCCTCTGAGTGCTGGGATTACATGCATGTGCCACCACGCCTGGTTAAAATGAACTTTTTTTATAGCCGAAGGATATTTTTTTGTGTGTGTGCCAGATGGGTTACCCAGGGCTTTGCTTAGGTTTTTTATTTTTCCTTAAGTTTTTAATTTAAGCTTAAATAACTTATTTTAATTATAGGTCTAGAAAATGTCAGCAACCACTTTTCAAGATTTGATTAATTTTGATCTCATTTACAAACTTAAACTCCATTAAACACCTCATATGGCATGATCCATCACATGTATTTGTTTAATTTCCTAAGCATAATTGCCTGACAAACCTCAAATACTCGAGGAATTCTTATAAATCTAATGTACAGAGTACAAATATGGAAAACTTGAATTCTGATTAGCCATCCCAGTGCCACGCATTAATGACTAAATCCCAAGTCCAGATCAATTACTCAATTATGAATTTAAAATTGGAATCATGAAACAATCTATTATTCTAATAGACCGAGTTCTCTGAAACATTATGAAGATATATAATACAGAAATTGCCTTATCATAAAAACATTAACACTGCCGTTCTCATTCCTTTTGTGTCTTATATAGAAATCCAGTCTTCCTAGGGGTAGATTCCCACTAAGAAGGCAAGTGGTCATTCCCAACAGCTGTCAAATAACCTAAGAGCTTTAGGGAAGAAGGATTCTTTTTTAAAAAGATATTTTTATTAGTACATATTTGTAGAACACATTGATTTGTCACTGTGGGGAGTAGATAGCATACATAAATATCTTAATTTGTTGTGTAGTCCTTTCAACTCCTCCCCTCCCCCTCCCTAATTTAGAGACCTAAATAGAGGGATCCTTCGAAGCACGGAGTTAGAACTTAGGGAGTTTTTTGTTTTTGTTTTTGTTTTTTTTGAGAGTCATGCTATGTCCAGGCTGCCCTCTAAGTCATTATACAGCCCAGGCTGGCCTCCAATTTGTTATTTCATTTATTTATTTATTTTTATGTATTTAGCACAGGGTCTACAGGGTCTCACTACACAGACCAGGCGTGTAGTGATTCTCCTGTTTAAGCCTCCCAAGCGCTGGGATTACAGGCACGCGCCACCAGTCTCATTCATCACCTCAGCGTGCCCCACCAGCGGGGCCAGCACCACATTCCAGGGATTAAACCCCAGTCGCTGTCCCCGCCTAAGCAGCGCTTTAGTCCACTGAGCTATCTGGTGGCCCTAGCCCCTCCCCCCCCAATTTGTGGCAATCCTCCTTCCTCAGCCTCCCCAGGACTGAGATTACAAGCATGTGGCACCCGGCCAGCCTTGGAGAAGATTCTTAACTGAACCTGAGGAGCCATTTGGGCTCATTCTTCGTTCTGCTCCCCAGAACTTCATTTGGGGTCATCTCTAAACCCTGGAGGCTGGCTTGCCTTGATCTGCAATTTAGGGTTTTTGTCACATCATTACCCAGTTTTCCTCTCTATTCATGGAAACTTGTACCTTAATGACTGGATTTTGTATTTCTT